GAATAAGGCTTCCCTGGCAAGCACAAGGGTCTGAGCTCAATCCCCGGTTCTGCCAAAAAAAGAAAAAGAAAAAAAAAAAAAAAAACCACCCAAAAACAATTGATGGAAAATACCTGTTCTATGTTATGTCTAAGGTGTTTGATATTCAGACAGATAATGAGGTTAAGCTCAAATGCCTATGTTATGGGGTAATAATATCATTAAGCTTCTCTTCTGGAAGGTTAACAACTTAAGTTTGCAGACCAAAAAACTGGAGAAAAAGAAAGGCTACAAGGAAGCCAACCTTGTGGTCCTAGCCCTTCAAGGTTAGTGAGGACTCAGGACATAAGGGAAAGTGTACTGTAACATCTAACTCAGTTGTGTCCCAAATTTTCCTATCAAGGAAATTATGGGGCTCCAGAGGAAAGTGATTGATGACATAGAGTGTGCCTAAGGAGATCACATGGAGAGAAAACATTCTCTCAGGCTTTCACAGGGAGCAAATTGGTCAAGCAGAAGCCATGACTGATCCACATGGCTGACACTGGCAAAAGATCTACAAACTGCTGTTCAGGGTTTCAGGGTAAATCCTGAGGGGATTTGACTGACCTTGGCAGATACAAAAGTTGCATTTTTTGTTATATAGGTGTTGCTTTATCTTGGTCTTAACCATCCAGCAGAAAAGTATAAAAATGAGGTATTAAAAGTAGAGCCATATTAAAATGCTGAGCTGTAAAAGGCTCAATTCAACAACTTCTGATATTGCCAGTCCTGTGGATAAACCACTACTATTATGAACTACTGGACTATATCTGATTACTTTTCCTGAATTTATGCACCTACAATATTTGAATGTCAATGGAATATGTATCTCTGACAAAACTAAAGAAAAAAGGGGCATGTAAATGAAGGAAGGACCATTTTGTAGTGAAAAAAATTATTTATATACAAAATAGCAGAAATATACAACTACTTTCTCTTAGTTCAATGAGAAGAAAGCTTTGAACTAATGTTTAGACAAGATATCATGTCTGCATCTTGTACTATGAATAACTACTATGAAGACAGCAATATGCGATGTATTAGTTATTATAACTCTCCTACTAACCTGTTTTGAATCTGTCTCATTGCTATTTCTTTCTCAAATATAAATGTGTGAAGGTCTCACTCAGTCCTGGAGTTGCCTAGGGTGGGTTTGAACATGTAATGTTCATGTTTCAATATACCAGTATTCTGGGATTGCAGCTGTGTGACACCATGCCCAGCCCGGTTTAATTTCTAATGGAGTAAATATTGACAGAAAGAACCTATGGCAACAAATCTTTTTTGGATCTAATAATTTTTTAGGGCATAAAGAAGTCCTGACATCCTAAAGTTTGGCAAACATCAGATTAGAACAAAATTAAGAGAAGTGGCTCAGAGGGTTTGGTTTCCTCTTGTTCCGCAGCTCTCATTGCCTATTTGCTGCCTACCTAGCAAAGAGTAAGTTGCAGTTGCTTTTTTTTTTTTTTTTTTTTTACATTAAATGTTTTTTTTCTATAGCATGACATGAGGGGCATCTGTTATGCTTTGTTTAGAGAAATCTTAAGTAGTATAAAACTGATTCATATGTTTAATATAAAATTTTTGAAACACAGCAAAGGTTATTTGTTGTTTATTTAACAATGCAAGCTTTATGTCACATCATGATTCAAGAATCCAGGATCTTTTACAAATGGTTTTACATTCCTTGTTACTTTGTTATCTATGTCCAGTTGGCAGAAAGTCTGAAGGTGCACTCACTTTTGAAACTTTGCCTTAAAGTGCCTATATTATTTCTGCTCATATTTCATTGATGAGAATGATCACGTTGGTTCACAGCTATGAATGTCTATCACCGCATGTAGTATGTTCATATTGGGTGTGCGTCTTGACTCTCTTACTCGCATCTGTGTGGCCTTCACTGTGTCATTCACCTCCAGAAATTTTCTC